AAATAAATAAATAAATAAATAAATAAATAAATAAATAAATAAATAAATAAATAAATAAATAAATAAATAGGAAAAGAAAGATTATCACAAATCTTCAATGTTATCTTTCATCTCCTCTGTAGACTCTATTAACTGTGAATAATTTTTTACCACAGATAACAATATTCTTGGCTTTTCTTTACCAAGTTTTTTAAAAATGCTGTTTTTAGGAAGCCAACATTTTACAGCAAAACAAGAGGCTGTAAATGCTTTTCTTCAGTGGAGAATGTAATGGGGAAGAGACTGGATGCAAAAGGGTAAAGAACACAAAAGGAGAAGTAATGGAGAAGAGAGAAATGTTTGTGCTTATCAGAGGTAACTGTAGGTATGGTCTCTACCTGAGGGCTCTTGCTGTTCTCTATCGAAGCAGGCTAATGTTACAAGACACTGATACATATCATAAGGAAATGTGATATGGCAGGAAAAGCAATCACCTAACTGGGTTTCAGGTGAAAAGGAGAGTGATTCTGGCTCTGCCAAAAAAAATTAGCATCATAAATTACAGGATCCAACAATAGGCATATAATCTGTCAATTTGAATGTAAATTAGCAAAAGGAAAATGGGAGGAAAGAGCAGGCAATATTGGAAGTCATACAAGGACAAGCAGTATATGAGTTTTCACAGGACAGTAGAGTTGAAAACTGGGTCTGCGAGCTTTAATCCCCACTACATTAATTAATTAATTCTAATATGACCACTTGCAAAAGGAGAAGATAGCACCAGATGCAAATGCATATAATAGCTTTCTCTTCTTGCACGAATATCAGGTGGGAGGATGCTGGAAAGATAGGGGATGCAAATTTCAACAGAACTGGACAATTCACAACAAAAGAGAATAAAAAATTAGGCTGGATGATAACATTGAAGCTTGTTAAAGACCAGGGCAGCCTCTTGTGGTGGCATATGTCTATAACCCTAGCACCGAGGAGGCTAAGAGAGGAAGAGCTTGAATTCAGGGCCAATCTGGTCTGCACAAGACTGTCTGAAAAATAAAAAGGAGGCTGGTCTGGTGTGTAGAAAAGGGGCTACCAGAGATGCTAGGGCCTGCCAATAGCCAATTCGGGGTACCATCTGAGACTTAGAGGAGAATGCAGCAGCACACTCACATAAGCAGAAACAGAAGTGTTTCCAAAAATACTGGATGACAAACAGCACAGACTAAATCTAACAAAATGAGAAATTTAATAGGAGCTCTTACAGTCTTATAGTAAGGTTTAACAAAAACATAACCATGAGCTGGAGATACCACTCAGTTAACAGTGCTGGTGTAGGGATGCATTCCTAGCATCCCACAAACTGGGCTTGGTGGCAGAAACCTATGATCCCAATACTTGGGAAGCTAAGGCAGGGGGATAATGAGTTCAAAACCAGCCTGGGCTGCATAGTGAGATACTGTCTCAAAAACAAAACTAGGGCTGGGGCTGTAACTCAGTGGGAGAACACTTGACCAGCAAACACAATGTTCTAGGTTCAAGCCCCAGATCTCTGAAACAAAAACAAAGGCAGCCATTCTAGGATATATAGTGAGTATAAAGCCAGTCTGGGTTACAAAAAAATCATATCACAAACAAACCCAACAGGATAGAGTTATTTGAAAATAACGTAAAAGGTATAACTATATTAGCTATTATTGGAAAACTGGTCACACAGAACGTAAAAAGACATCAAAATCAGGTTCATAAAACTGGGTATATGAGAGAAGTTGAGCCCCTTCTAAGGCCATACATTACAAATAGATAATAATATGTCCAGCAGCGATTAAGCTCTTGAGAGCTACAGCATGAAGTAACTGAGGCTCATTAACATGAGGGAAAAAAGATGTGGAAGGACAGGAAGAGGAAATGAAAGACACTGTAAAACAACTAAAGCAACCAGTAAGATAGGTTGGTGGGTAAAGGCACTTGCTGCCTTGCCTGACAAACTGAGTTTGACCCCTAGGATGCACATGGTGGAAGGAAAAAACTAACTTCTGCAAGTGGTTTTCTCTGGCCTTCACATGTGCCCTGTGGCACTCATGCACATAGACACAATACATCAATACAATGTAATGAATAAACAAAGCAAATAAACATATAGCAAAACAAGAATTTGATCACAGAATATGAGAGTGCTAATACAACTTCGTAATTAATCTTTAGAAGAATCATTTCAATTAACAAATGTCAAATATTTGTTGAGTGAGAGCCTTAGCTGAACAGCTTGAGAAATTTTCTGAGTTCTAGAGTGGACATTGGCACTAGGCAAAAATAGTGAAATGCAAATGTCTCATACACTATTTGTGGCAATATAATGTTAATTGATGTTTAAAGGTTGCTAATTTTTTTCTTCTGATTTGTGTTCTTTGACTATAAGGAAAAGTAAAGGCACAACATATTTGGCCTCATGGAGAAATTCTATCTAATTTTCACATTGAAAATAAATTTGCTTATAAATTATTGTAATGTTTTAAAGAGTTTGTAACACAAAAATCATTTAAACTCTCATCATTTCTTGTCTCTTAAGAGTTTAGAATATTTAGCATTTTGTATCTCCTAAAAATTCTAAATTAAAAGTCAAAACAAAAAACTGAATCTCCTCTAGTCATATGGCTGCACAGTTGGGGCTTCTGATCAGCTTGTGGTATTTGTGAGCAAGATCTACAGCCTTTCGTCCTTGTTGAAAGGGGAAAGACCACAAAATTGAATTCCAATGATTTCCCATTTTTTTAACTCCATGGAAAAGATAATTTACTTCTTCTTTGGTAAAGTTTTTACGAATTCTTCTTTTTTCTGTAATGAATGGAAATTGTAGAAGATATTAATACTTGATGAAATAAGAAATCTTCTTAAGACTCAAATAAATGGGTAACTTATTCCATAGAGATAAACTACAGAATGAGAGTTTGATGCCAGAGAAACTTTTCAAATAGAAATTTACTTCAGTTTAAAAGATCATTTAGTGAGGTGCAATCACTGTGACTTCTTTAATGTTACAACTTAATCCATTGAAATAATATCCACATCTATCAATCAAAAAGCAAGTTTATAAACATTAGATTTTAATGCAGCATTGCTGTGAGGGTGGTTAACAAACAGCTTCCTAGCTTACAGATACAGTCTTCTCAAAGGCTCCATAACTTTACAGGATAGAGAATATTCACATTTGTTATTTTGAATACCAGTTTTGAATAATAAGAGTCTTTTGAAGTTCACTTAAAAATAAAGCACATGTACTATCTATAGGGGTGCTCAGCTTATCAAAATGTAAAAGCAGAATAGGTCACATAATAGAAAAAGAAGTTTGTAGGTTATCTTTTCTTTTCTCTCTTTTTCTTTTTTTTGAGACAGGCTTTTCCTATGTAGCATGGGCTTGCCTCAAACTCACTATGTAGTCCATGCTGGCCTGGAACTTGGAATCTTCTTGCCTTAGCCTCTGGAATGTTGGTATTACAGGCATGTTCCTCCAAATCTGGAAGTTTTTGACTGTCTGGTTTTTGATGAGTAGGTTCTATAACAGAAAGAATACACAGCTGGTAAACCGTTATTTCAGTTATCTCTTGGTGACTATTATGAGGAAATAGTTTTACTATTACTGTGTGTGTGTGATATGTATGGACACACTCATGCCACGGCATGCATGTGGAGATCAGAGAACAACTTTATGGAGTCAGTTCTTTTCTTCCACTTTGATATGGGTTCTGAGGATCAAACTCATGTCATCAGGCTTAGTTGTAAGCACTTCTACTGCTGGTCTCTCTCTCAAGCCCGAGGAAATAGGTTTCCTCCAACTTTGGAGTTCATTGATAACTTGTGTGGCACTGTAGCCAGATGCCAGAGAGACATGCTTTAGCATTTCTACCTGAGGCTGCTACTTACTGTAGAAGGAATGGATGTATAAAATTTGACCCTTACAAGCCAACACTGCTGGCCATTTGTGTACCTTCCTAAGTTAAATGTGATGGTTTAAAACAAAAGAGAGCATCTTCCTAGCAGATGCTGAGAAGTCGGTTATTACTTAGTATTTAAAATGCAAGCTCCACGAAGGGCAAGACTTCTGAATAGCTTAGTTACCACTGTATTCTCCAGGCTCAGAACAGTATCTCAGACATAATAGACAATCATTTATGAAGAGAAATTTCTATTTATTTATTTATTTTTTTATGAGAAAAAATGTTATTGATAAAACTTCCTCAAAACTTGTACATGAAGTTGCTCCTTAGCTTGGGGAATGCTGGAAAACTGTTGTTACCCAAGTTTCTTTGAAGCTTCACTTGATAAATGACTTATCTCCTTGTATTCAGGACTGGGTAGGTCATAACTTTTAGGATAGAGGCCTTAAAGTTGTTCACATAAAGCCCCCCATTTCCACTGAGGCTGCCATTTCCCTGACTTACAAATTCTATAGACTCTGTACTTCAAGGTTTCACTCCATGGCCTTTTGAGTGAAATTTTAAAACATTATTATTTCTTTAATTGGGCTTCTAGAAAAATCTTGCTATATAGCTCACACTTGCCTCAAACTTGTGAGCCTTCTGCCTTAGTTGTGGGATCAGGGACAAGAGTCACACACCCAGCCTCAGTGCTATTCTTAATATCCACTGTGTGTTAGAGAAGAAAAGGAGCAAGAGGGCTTAATTCCAGAAAATCTTACTTGTCAAATTCTCTCAACATAGCAAGCTATCCTAAAAAGAGCTTTGGAGGAGTCTTCAATACTTACATGGTACATTGCCCTTCCTCAAAATGATAAGCTCAAATCTGAGTATAAACTACAGTTAAATGAATGGTAGTGAGACACCTAATATGAAAGGCAAATTAATCAAGAGGAAAGAAAATGGTCACATACTAAACATTCTAGGCTTGATCTCTTAATTTAGGATCACTCTGTATAATTAGTGTATAATCATAATTATGTCCATTTGCATGGGGCTTGCTGATTATTTTTCAATGTAAATTAATTATAGACTAATTTTTAGTTGTTATTTATTTACTTTTAAGACATTACTGAAAAAAATCTATTAATAATTTGATCTCAAGTTCTTGCCAAGAACAATTTTTGTTTTTGTTTTTGTTTTTGTTTTCTGGGACATAGTTTCCCTGTGTAACAGCCCTAGCTGTCCTGAAACTCACAGAGGTCCTGCCTCTGCCTCCCAAGTGCTGAGATAAAAGGCATGTACCACCATGCCAGAATAAGAACAAAATTTCTAAGGGCAACATGTCTCTATGGGACAAAATTCCCATTTTGTAATAGCTACTAATGAAACTATTACTTGGAAAACATAGGCATTTCATGCCAAGAACAGTACTTCGTACCTGTTATCCCAGCACTTGGAAGATTGATCTATGCAGTATCTAATAGAGTGGCACTATATTTAATTTTAACTTACATAAATAACCTTTTTGTTGATTTTATATTTTTTGCGACAGGCTCTTGGTGTGTGTACTCTGGCTGGCCTAGAATTTGCTATGTAGACCACGCTGGCCTTGAATTCCAGCAATTCTCAAGCCTTTGCCTCCTGGGGGCTTGGATTATGGGAACACACTACCACACCTGGTTCTATATGAAAATATTCTTTCGGTTTTTTGAGAAAGGGTTTCCCTGTTTAACCACCCTGGCTGTCCTGGAACTCTCTGTAGACCAGGCTGCCCTCAAACTCACAAAAATCTGCCTGCCTCTGCCTCCTGAGTGTTGGGATTAAAGGTGTGCACAATCACTGCCTAGCTATGAAGAATTTTTTTAAAAAAAGTTATTTATTTTATGTATATGTATGAGCCTAATAAGTTCATGTGAATCACAGGAATGCAGGCATGCTTGGAGGGTAGAGGGCATCAGATCCCCTGGAAATTGAGTTACAGGTGGTTATGAACCACCTGATATGAGTACTGGAAATAAAACCCATGTCCTGTACAAGAACAGTAAGCACTCTCAACTGCTGAGCTACTTCTCCAGCTCCATGAATAACTTGTAATGTAGAAAAAGACTCAAGATGCATGAAGTAAATTTTAAGTAGCTTTCAAGGTTTGGCTGTGAAAATAACCAAATAAATGTTAAGTGAGACAAAAGACTTGTTGGATATACCAAGTCCAAAAGTCTGTAATAAACAACAGGGTAGCTCTACTAATATTACTAATCTCCAGATAACACTAACAAGTAATGGACCCCACTTCATGTTCTTAACCTGAAAGTATTATCTTCCTAGGATTAGAAGAAAATGATAATGCTCTTGAAATCTCTTTGATAAATTTGGAATGATGAAAAGCCAGAGACATTAACCTTATGGTTAATTTAAAATTGCGTAATCAATCAGTGTGTATGGGAGCCAGAGAGGTCAGTTTTGTGTTTCTTCCTCTTACTGCTTGCCACCTTAATTATTTAGACACGGGCTCTAGCTAAACCTGGAACTCACCCACTGGCAGGACTGGGTGGCCTGCCGGTTCAGGGTCTGCCTGTCTCTGCCCGCCCAGCATGAGGATTACGGATGTGCCACCAGGTCCAGCAGTTATGTGGGAGCTAGAGACCCAAAGTCAGGTCCTCGTGCTCGGACAGCAAGCATTCCAGGTGACTCCTCACTCCCTAAAGTTTCTATAAGCTAACTTAACAAGGATTTTTTTAAAAAGAGAAACTTAATTTATCCCATTTGTCGCTTCAATTTTTAGTGTTTAAAATACTATAGTTATGAACAGAAGTCTTCTGAAAAGTCTCTCTGAAGTACTTGACCAGAGTTTCTAGATGTCCAGGAGATCTGATGACTTCTTTGGCCTCCATGGGCACTGCATGCACATGGTACACATATATACATGCAGGCAAGTATTCATACACATAAAAGAAAAATTTATAAAATCTACAAAACTAGTTAAAAATAAATAAATAAAAAGGAATGTCTGTTTCCTAGAGCTCCTTCCTCAGGTGGCAGGCAGCAAGCAAACAAACACCATAAAGGAGGAAGAGGGTGTCTCTTTTCAGTAGGTATAATCTCATACAAGCCAAGGGTTATCATTTTACGTAATTAATGAGAACAGTCATTCAGCTGTTCTCTTCTTTTTAGGAATATGTAGAATTTAAGCTTATTTAAAAATTAAATATATTCACTTAGTCCTTCAGGGGCAGTAGATTCTTTACTAAGTTGTCTTCTTCTACGGGGGGTCAGCAAAATTTCTGAAAAATATAGAAAACATTTAGTATACTTAGAATATCAATCTCAATAGTTACATATCAATTCTATTATACTATGATACTGCTTACCCTCTTCTAGTGGAAATCCTTAAGTGAACTAGAAATAATTGTTTATTTATTATATTTCTTACTGTGTATGAGTGTTTTGCTTGCATGTGTGCATGTATACTACATTTGTGCCTAAAAAGGGTGCTGGATTCCCTGGAACTGGAATTACAGATGGTTGTGAGCCACATGTGAGTGCTGGAACTGAATGAACCTGGGTCATCTGTCAGAGCAGCCAAGTGCTCTTAACTGCTGAGCCATCCCCCCAGACCCACCTTTTTTTTGTTCTTGGTTTTGAAATAGGCTTCTCAGTGTTGCCCTGGCTATCCTAGAACTAGCTATGTAAACCAGGCTGGCCTTGAACTCAGGGATCTGCCTAACTCTGCTTCCAAAGTACTGAAATAAAAGACATGTGCCACCATACCTGGATCTTTTTGTTTGTTTTTTGAGACAGGGCATCAGATAGATCAGGCTGACCCCAAACTCTGTATAGCCTTGAGTTCCTGATTCTCTTGCTTCTACTTCCCAAAGGTTGAGAATATCAGTGTGTGCCACCATGCCCAATTTAGGGAGAATTTTTAGGCCATTATAGACTAAATCTACTCTAGTTTATCTTAAGCTACTGGTAACCTAGAGATAGGGTTTTTCTTCCAGCAGTATTTTACACTCTAATCAGTATACTTAATACTTTAGCTGATAGTTCAGAATGTATAGCCGTAATTACAGTTAAAGTTGCTGAATTAATTACCTTTGTCACAGATAAGTCCTTTCCTTAGTTCACTTTTATATTTATCTTCAGCTTCCATAATGACTTTATGATGATCACATTGGTATGCACAAGAGTGCAAAAGCTTGCTAAAATTTCGGCTGTTGAGTTTTCTTACCACTATGCAACCTGAAAGAAAACAAATTAAGTTGATGTACAGATGTTACAAAATTATATACTAATAACTCTGTGAAAGCAGATAATCTCTAAGATGATACTAAAGTGAATTAAGAATTTATAAGTATTTCAAGAAACCTCAACTCATCTCAGAGAGTAAAGAAAATAAATACAAAGAAATAAGGGTTGGGGTAGAGGTGTGAACAGTTACAGCCACACAAAAAAGAAGCATCCAACCCACCGTGGCAACACATGCCTACAATCCTAAGTACTTAGGAGGCCAGGGCAGGAGAGCAGGAGGTTTCCAAGTTCAAGGCTAGCCTGGGCAATTTTGTGAAACCTGATCTCAAACAAAATAAAACAAAAAAGTAAAGGGCTACTACAGGTCAATGTACAGTGCTTGTCTAGCATGTGCAAAACCCTAGGTTCAGTTCTCAGTACTGAAAAAGAAAAAGGGCTAAGGATTAGTTCAGTTGGTACAGCATTTGCCTAACACTCACAAAGCTCTGGATTAAATTCCTAGCACAGCATAAAATTGGGCACACACTTGTAATTCCAGCATTTAGGAGGCAGAGGCAGGAAAATCAGAAGTTCCTGGCTATCCTTGCTTACATAGTGAACTGGAGGCCAGTCTGGGATATATGAGACCATCTCCAATAGACAAACAGAAAAAAAAAAGAAACAAGAAGTATCTACGTTGGTTTGGTTTTGAGCTATTAAAGGAAGGTACCTAAAGAAGTTGTGATGGTTTGAAGTGTCGCCCATAGTCTCAGGCATTTGAATACTTGGTCCTTAGCTGGTGGTGCTGTTTAAGAAGGTTCAGGAAGTGTGTCACTACAATGGGCTTTGAGAGTTTAAAGATTGGTGCCATTCCAGTTCACTCTCCTTGCTTCATTGTTGTGATTCAAGATGTAAGCTCTTAGCTCACATGGTGGTCACGGTGATGGACTCCTATCTCTCTGGAACCTTCCTTCTCTAAGTTGCTTTGGTTAAGGTATTTTATCATAGCAACAGAAAAGTAGTACAGAAGTGTTCTTTATGTGCAGTCAATTTTCTTTTTGCTTTAAACATTAATATTATGGAACATTTTAAACACCTAAGAGTAAAGTGCAGAGCATAACAAACATTTGTGTTTACTTCACCTAGTTTCATAATTATTAAATCATAGAAAGTCATTTTTTTTTTAAGGTAGGGTTTCTCTGTGTAGCCCTGGCTGTCCTGATACTCACTCTGTAGACCAGGCTGTTCTCAAACTCAGAGATCTGCCTGCCTCTGCCTCCTGAGTGCTGGGATTAAAAGCGTGTGCTGCCACCACCTGTAGAAAGTCAAATTGTATTGTCCTCTCTCCCATTACAATATACCCATGAGGGCAATGAAATCTGCATTAAATATCATGCATCTATGAATACTTATGTATCTCTAACATAAGAATTCTGCTTTTCAAATATACACAACTATTACCTAAGAAAATAATGATTACTATAATCTAATATACAGTACTTGTCTTAGTTAGGGTTTCTATTGCTGTGAAGAGACATCGTGACCACAGTAACTCTTATAATGGGAAGGAAGGAAGAAAAGAAGGGAGGGAGGGACGGAGGGATAGAAGAAAGGAAGGAAGAAAGGAAGGGAGGGAGGGAAGGAGGGAGAGAGAGAGAAAGAGAGAAAAAAAGAAGAAAGAAAGGAAGGAAGAGAGAGAGAGGGAGAGAGGGAGGGAGGGAGGAAGGAAGGAAGGAAGGAAGGAAGGAAGGAAGGAAGGAATTGTTACCAGGCAAGACACAGTTTTACACACTTATAGTCCCAACATCTTGGGAAGCTGAGCTGAACCAGGAGGATCACTTAAGTCCATGAATTCCAAGCCAGTCTAGGTATTATATAAATAACTCACTCATCTTTCCAAAAATTTTATCAAGTGGCATTAATATTTTGAATGTGGTATACAGCCGGGCGGCGGTGGTGG